ATACAATTATACCTCAAAAAATGAAGGAGAGAATCATTTAAATTAAAAACTTAGGACAGGCCAAAATTCGCATAACAATGCAACATAGCATATTATTATTTGCACAAGAGAACCCGAAATGGTATCATATGATAAACTGAAATAATGGGTGCTCAAGCATTCAACATGGCATTCAATTTCGCCAAACTCTGTCCAAATAGAAAGTGATTGCTCGTGAAAATATAGTAGGAATGAAAACCACAAATATTTTATTTAGTCTTACATGGTCTCCTAGTTAGAATCCAATCTTTGAAACTTGTCCAACCAAAAGTAAGTTTTTACAGCGTAGCAAAAGCACATTGAAGAGAGGGAATGTAAACCTTTACCTTGAAGATATGCCGACCCAATGTGATAGTGTCATTGAGAAAAAGATCCACTAATCAAAGTGGAGAAAGATCTCCCAATTACACAATGCTAATTTGGGTATTGTCACTTCCACTTTTTACCCTTTCTGCTCATCTAACTTTGCAGAATCTGATTGCTATTTGAGGATGGCTTTTGCAAATGCTTGAATTGTAGTTGTTGAAGATCAAAAGCATTGTCTCCAAGATGGGTCAGGTTGAAGAGGTTTGTAACGTGGGTCAGAATTGAGAGGATTCAATGCACCCAACAAGAAACTGTCAAAATCATGCATATCATTCAAACAACCGTTAAAATAAAAAGATAACCATGAAGACTCATAAACCATGCTGTTATTAGCAGACAATACAAGGATTAAAAAGGAGAACGAGGAAAGGACACTTGATAAGAATATACAAATTCATATAGTTGTAGGTCAACATCGGAGGGTTTAAGAAAAGCGGTAGCCATAACCTTAGATAGTGGCAGATACGGCATACCCACTCAACCACGACATGATCATCACCTTGGAGAATTCGGTCAATTATGGCTGTAGCATCACCTGAAGCTTCTAAAATACAGATGAATGAGATGGATGGTGCCTGTCGCTTCCTCAACAGTGTCTCGTTACTTTTGGCATGTCATCAGAATCGAATTCAACATAAGAAAGGCTGTAAATTTGTGATGGAATAGCAAGCTGGAAAGTGCTTAATAATCATGTCATAATCATATATCTGGAGGCTCCAAGAAGTGTAGTTTCAGCTATTGGAGATATGGGTTAGTACTGATTAGATTTAAAGCATGCCACAAAATTTCTCCACATAATATGAGCAGTAGTTGCCATTTTAATTAATCAGGTTTCCTTTAGTAGAATAGTTTTGTTGTTGGTGCCATCAGACTGCAATCATTGGATAATGAAATAGTGCAATTGAAGCATATGTTACGGGCAGAGTTGAAAATGTGCTCACATATGAACCCAGATAAGCAAACAAACCTATTTTTGTTCCTTGCTTATTCATGGAAAACAGGCAACAATGATTTCTTTCTTAAAAAAGAACCAAATCAGCATTGGTTAGCAGCAAGTGCACTGTAGTTTGATCTACAAGGCTCTTAAAATTTTAAACGAGTGTCTTGAAGAAAGGTTAAAACAGAGATTTAAAACTTGAAAATTAGTTCAATTCCTAAGTTGGGATTTATAATAAAATGGAGAGGAGTATCTGCCATTATGTAGCATAATGACCAATGGATCACCATATCTATCTAAAAAACTGTTTCAACATAGTACTAGTAGCAAGTAAAAAGTCTGAAGTATGATATTACTGTCCTTAAGGATAATTTTTATCTCAATAAATTAGTTCAATTCCTAAGTTGGGATTTATAATAAAATGGTGAGGAGTATAAAACCATTTCAATAGAGTCCTAGTAGTAGGCAAGGAGTCTAACATGGTATCACTGTTATTAGAATAATTTTCGTCCCTTCAAAGTACAAAAACTCACTTGGGCCTAGCCCCCAACAGTAGGCAAGAAGCTTGAAGTGTGGTATCATTGTTTTTGGATAATTTTTGCTTCTTCAGAATACAAAAAGTAAGAAGCTTGAGACGTGATATTATTATCTTTAAGGATAATTTTTATTCCTTCAGAATACAAAAACTCACTGGAGCTTAGCCCATGTGTATACTCGGGCCTAAAGAGGAATTTGAATTTTCTCAAGACCTAGCCCGACCTCTTGTGCGCACAAGTCCACTTATTTTTCCTTTTTGATACAAGCCCATAATGGGTTTATTTATTTAAAGCACTCATATATTTGTGTACCTTAGAATGTGGGATGTTTGATCCTTATAAAATACATTACTTTTTTAACAATCCCTTACATATTTCATAAGATTTCATAGGAAGTTTTGTTAAGTCAAATTTCATTTGAGTATAATGCATCGTGATTGGTGTTTTTTAAACTATGAACCAACCATAGAGAGAATGAAATATAAATCATTGAATTTTGATAAAATTTATAACTTCTATGAACTAAAATTTTTTATATCTAATATAGTTTTCATTAATCACATTACACTCCCATAATTTCTACTGTTCAATGAGATTTTGCACGAATAAATCATGCGCGTGCCTGATTATTTATAAATACTCTAGAGAATTTGTCACAATTCTCATAAGAACAACCCTACTCTATACTTATATAAGTAATTTCATTAATTGTATACTACAGTTTAATATAAAGGATATGGAATTCATTAAGAGTTTAACTTAACATTTCTTACATTGCAGTTTTGCATGGTTTACACACCATAGGATGGGCAATAATTTTAATAGTGCATCAATTTATCAATAAATAACTTGTTATTACCCATATGAACCTAATTCATGGACTCTCCAATCATATAGGCTGGGTTACTATTATTTGTTGATTTTCTCAATTGGCTTAAGTCCCATTTATCTCAATGTATTATTGATTAATTTTCTTCTTGGGGGTTTAATAAAAGGATCGGAAAAATTCAATTTTGACTTCACATAGCTAATGGACATAATTCCACGTCTAAGCAGATGCTTTATTACATTATGTCTCAAAACGAATGTGTTTATTTTTACCATTGAAAGTTTTATTTTTTGCAATGGCTATTGTCGCTTAACAATCACAATACATAAACATAGAAAGTGTTGGTTTCATTCTTAACGAAATATCAACTAAGAAATTTCTTAACCACTTTGCCTCATTACTAGCCAACTTTAAAATTACAAATTCTAACTCTATTGTGGATTTAGCAATTATTATTTATTTGGTTGATTTTCAAATTATAACACCCCCACTAAAGGTGGATACATAATCACTTGTAGATTTTGTTTCATCTGAATTTAAGATCCAGTTAGTATCAGTTTACCTTCTAATACAACAAGAAATCCATTATATAAAATATTATAGTTTATGGTACCTTGCAAGGATTTTTTTTTTACTTTGCTCAAGGCAATCCAATAATTTTGATTGGGACTTTGTGTATATTTGCTCAACTTACGCACAACATAAGCTATATCAGATTCAGTATGATTCATCAAAGATATCAGACTCTCAATAATCTAAGCATACTCTAATCTGACTCTTAACGTCCTTGTCATCTTTTTGCGATAGAAGTTGCCAATCACAAACTTCTGTTTCCCCACATCTTCAGCAGTGTACTTGATAATCATTGACCTCTATATTTGCTTTGCTTCTTTCTACGGATTGTATACATCAAACAGCTCATTAGAAAGTGTGTTAATGAACGCATGCTTGCATACCTTATTTGCACGCATCCATGATTCTAGCATCTTGACATTATTTGGCTTAGAATCAATTAACGCAAAAGTCACCCATGAACATCAAAGATTGAAAAAAATCTTTTCTTACTATCTTTTGAAGTTTTTGCTATCAAAAACCTTAATTTTGAAAATATCTGAAAATGATTTAACATATGAGACCAGAGTCATAAGAGGAACGATCGTTAGAGTAGGAGCTATAGTGGAACCATTGACAATGATGGTGGCAGTAAGGACAAAGGCAGTAGCAAGAATAATAGTAGCAGCAGGAACAATAGCGGCAGCTTTATCAATGTGGGAATCCATTTTTCTTAAGATTGTTATAAAAAGTAAGAAATAAATGAAAATAAAATAAAAGAAGTAAAAACAATAAGAAGTTTGAGGCGCAGTATCACTGTCTTTAAAAATAATTTGTACCCCTTCGAATTACAAAACTCGGTGCACGATGACTATAACAGTTATCCTCAAAGATTCAATACACCATTCCTTATAGTTTGCACAAACTAGTAAAGGATAGCAAGAACAACAAAAAGATTTGAAGGAAAGACACTAGAGAAAATATGCAGAAAACAAAGAAAAAGGAAGAGATGAGAACCAAATCAAGAGAGTTAAGGAAAAACCTAGTCATCATATAAGTAGATGTTGCAGCAAATCAAAAGAGTTAAAAAAAATTCATTTGGGCATAACCCACATGTATTCTCACGTGCAGGGAGGGAAATCTGAATTTTCTCAAACCTTGACCCAATCTCATGTGTGTGCGAGTCCACTCCTTTTTCTTTCTTTGCAAGAAGCCTATAATGAATTTGCTTATTTAAAACATTCACATCTTTAGATATCTTAGTAATGTGAGATGTTTGAACCTTATAAAATACACTATGTTTTCAACAAGAATTTCCAGTTTCTGTTACAATAATGACCTAGTCATAACCTGCTCAAAAATGGTTAGCATATATTCTGAAAAATATCTAGGGAGGAAAATACAACTTCATGTAGATATATTTAGCAGAAAATGGTTTATCAATGTCTAGTGGTTGCAGACTAAAGTGGGCATCAGGCACAAAAGGAATAATTACCCAGCTTCCTATGGTGGACTTGAATGCCATTATACATGCTTTCCCTTTTTGACACAAACCTTAATCCACCAGGATTCATTGGACATCCATTATAACATTTACAATGATAAACACATATAAGTAGGAGCTGTCATAAATCTACATCTACAAGTGGGATTACCAAATCCAGTGCATTCAGACAAAAAGTTTTAAGAACAATAATGGGAAGGGATAGAATTCACAAGACCTCCATATATAACATTGTGATTGATAATGAAACTGGTATAAATAGAAGCCATTATGACAATTCTCCATCCACAAGTGGGTTTACAATATCCAGTGTATTAAGACAAAAAGTTCAGGTACAATGGCTATAGGAATAAAACTCATGATTATATTAAGCATGAGCATAAAAGAAGATATGTCTTCAGTGGCATGATTGAAATCAAAGTTTGGGTATATTAGAGCAATCAGGACAGCTGAAGTGACCTCTAGCTTGACATTTTGTACATCCAATGGATTTTACCTTCAATTCAGCACTTGCAAAGGACTGATATAAATCATCAATAAGGTTAAAACTGAATGGTCCATTTGCTTTGATTAATCCAGTTCCTCTACATCTGGAGCATGCTATCATCCTTAGATCACCGCATCTCTTGCACATGCCCAAAGAACTGCAAGTTTAAGCAGTTGCACATCAGCATGTGCACCAAAGATGGATCAAAATGATCTGAACCATATAGACTATAAGGGAGTTGAAGTGAAACAAATACTAGCAATTTTCTTCTCCTAGCAAAGTTGAATTACGGTTGGGAACCTCATGATATAGTTAAGACATATTACCAACCATAATTCAATATATAGATGTTCAATCTGCAGAATTATGTCATCTGTTAATTTATTGCTATTATCATTCATTTTGGGTTCTTTTTTTTCATCATTCAAAGCAGGGCAAGCAAATAAGTCTCCCTCAAAACTCAAGTACATGAATATGCAAAATTGGGACAATAGAAGGATGATCAATCGGTTAGAGAAATAATGCTTGGTTGCATTCTTTGTCACATGAAGACTGAAGTTAATAAAGCTGATGTGCAACTCAGTTTAGAAAGCAATGGATTTAGTCCATTCACTTGCACCGGCCTTTAGACACTGATTCTATACCTTTATCACTTTTTTCCCGTAAAGTATCCCCAGCTTAAATTTATTCTCCTACAAAAATCAGAAAGGTGGAGCATATTACTTGCTATTGTTCAGTTTTATGTCAGTCCAGTTTAGGCATCTGAGCATTTCTTAGCAAAAGATGAACCACAAGAAGTGTAGCAAGATACCTACACCAGCAAGAGGAAAGCCCAAGATAAGGTTTCCCAAAGGATTCTGTTCAAAATTAGTCCAGCACTTCAGGGCCATTTTTACACTATTATAATGCGACAACAGATGACACTGGTCAATACCTCCAAAGAGATGCCATTTTTTACTTAGATTTGCTTATGCCACCAGAATTTTCTGGATGGGGAGAGATATCTTTTTGATAATTCTATGTGGGAAAGTTCATCTTTTCTAGATAGGGCAAGCACAAAGAACAGAAATCACAGCGAAAAGATATAGCAACCATTTTATAAAAGAGTCATAACAACTCCACAATTAAACTTTATCCTAGGAATGCAAAAGACATTGCAATTTAAATAAAATGATACCATTTCAAAAGTACATCCAACGTAAACCAACAAACTGAGAAAAGTTCCATTCAACAGAACAAGAAAGACTAATGGCAAGATATAAAAAATCTACAAATTCTGAACAACAACAATTAAATGAGTCACAACTCATGAACCAAACTAACAATCAAAATACCGACTTTACTCATACAAAATAAATAAAAAACTCAACTTTTCAATGATTTAAGACGTTTTGCAATCTGGGTATCACAACTAAAAAAAGAAGTTTGAACTCAAGAACTACAAAATTGGTTTTTAAAAGTTCACCTTCTCTGTGAAGCAGAAATGAAAGCATCAACTTTGGGGGCAGCAATTGTAGCACATAACAGCACAGTGCCAACCCCAAAGCCTGCAATTTCGCTTGCTGTTATGTTTTCCATCTCTTCTTCTGCCTTCACTGCGTTTCTGTAGAGCAATAGCACATAAACTCAAGCTTATCGTTTCTGTCAGCGACTGTAAAATTGTTATTAAATATCTACGAACAAATTATCAACGTAGGCCTATTAGCTCAGTTGGTTAGAGCGTCGTGCTAATAACGCGAAGGTCGCAGGTTCGAGACCTGCATGGGCCAAGATTATTATATTTTGCTAGCTTTAGGTGTTTGGGCCTATTTTTGCAGACTTAACATATTTGGGCCTCTTTATTTGGTAGTGATTTCGCTTTAGCCTCGTAAGATTTTTTCCGTTACTTAAAAAGGAGAATCATTTTAAGTGTTTACCTTTAATTTTTAGATGCTAACTCTGGTGGAAGAATTGTCAAAATTTTGTATATATTGAATCTATTTGATGTTGGGTTTTCCTATTCTTATTCTTATTATTTATTGTTTACTATAAGTTTTATTTCTTGTTTGCTTGTGTGGATCTGTTACCTCTTCCTCAATGTCATTGATGATGGCCCATGTTTGGGCTCAACAACAGTTCAGAACCACTTTCACATACCTGTATTTCAAATCGAATTTATCGGCCACCATGTTTTCTATTTTCTTTTCAATTTTATTCTTATGACTATCGTTACCCCTTTTATATATTATTACTCTAATTAATTAATTACAATCCTGATCTAATTTTAAATTATATATATAGTTTAGCTTGTCAAAGATTCCAACCTGGACTCCTGGACCATAAATATTATTCCATGTCGAAGAGCAAAAGGATAAATCAAGTGACAAGTTAAAACTAAAAGTTGCTT